ATTCCTGCTCTATCTTGACCGTGTCAAACCGTCCTGTACCATGGGCCTGTTTCACACCCTGACCTGGGTGTTCCTGTCCTTTCTTATCATACAGGCACTGGACTATCCTACACCTTGTACAGCCTCCCCTCCCTCCCATTTTCTGGCAGGAGTGTCCATGTGGCCCACATGCCAAGTTTGGCTTATATAAGGAGTTCACGTACCGGTCAGGTTTGCTGGTCAGGCCTACTCTGGCCAGTGCTTTAGCAAAGCCTTTGTCTGAGCGGTATATAATATATTGATCTGTGTTACAGCAAGGCCTACGCATATCTATACATGGAGGTCAATACATGTTTCTACATGGAAGTCTATAGTGTCTAGGCATGTCTTTCATGTCTATACATGCCTATACATGAAAGACTATATGTTTCTAAATATGTCTGTATATGACTGACATGAAAGTCAGAGCAAGACACCTGTGTGACACATGGGACAACTCTCTGCATGCTGATTGGCATAAACATTATTATCAATTGCATCTTGGTACAGATGATGTATTGGGAGCACTGGTGTTTTCTGAAACCACAGTCTGAATGGTAAAAACAGCCATTTCGGGAACATCTCCCCCCACCCCCCCAGCATTGATATGGGTAATGGGGGGGGTGGATCAAGCCCTAAAATTACACATGACACTTTTAACACACATAAGTGGTAGGCTGAAGGTTGTACATATAAGTCCATGCCCTTATTCAGTGAAGATACATACATCTCATTAATGACTTGATCCTAAAACTATCACTGTGTGGCCAGATCACCTTCCCCCCCCATCAATTTTGCTGTGATGCATCCTACATTTGTAACATCAAAAAGCATGCTAATGCTCCAGCAGAAGGGAATCCTTTTGAAGGATTGGCTAAACTTTCTATAAATGAATATTTCCTAGTCTAGTCATGTATTCAATTTTATCTGGTTGTATGTTTCGGGGAGCTTCACCTTGTCCATTTAGCAGGGACATGGGCAATTGCCAGTACCAAAATTGTCACTGGTGATGCTTACAGGCAGAAATACAGGAAAGATGAAAAATCCACAAGAGTTTGGAATTAGCACAAGGGAAGGAAGGCTCAGCCTTTGACTTTTCCAAGTCTCCTTTTAATTTGCAAGTTACTTTCTAGGCCTGTATCAAATTCTGTAGGCAGAAATATTTTTTTATCTTATTGCCTTGAGAAATATGGAGAAACTTTTATAAATGTACCAGAGGATCATCTGATCATGCAAACATGTATGTTCCTGATTAATTCTGTTGAAATCAAATATGTAAGTATTTGTAGAATCAAGGCCTAAGCCTTAAATAACTATTTAGGTACTGCTTGAGTTAGCTGCCTTAAAGATGATATGTCACTTGGATTTGCTCCCAGTTGGTTTGCATAGCCATTTGGAGACAAGCACATTTACCTCTGGTAGCCTCCAATGAAATCAGTATCAACATAAAGCTTTTGAGTGATATGTAGGGCAATGTTTTTAAAGATCTTTTGCCCATTTTATTTCATATTTTTTAATTGAATGTCTTCGCTGATGTTTGTACTGACTGTACCAGCCAGGTTAGTTATAGCTATAAATCAGTAAAAATAATGAAAGTAAACTAATATATATATATTTTTTTAAAGATTCAGAATAACTCTTTCTCAAATTTCTAAACTTATGGGAGGTGAAGGCTGTGCTGTATGTAATTCAAAAGATACTGATTGACATAATACATAACATTTCTTTACGCATTTGCTAGTAAGAGGGGAAACGAGTAATGGCATAATACCAATGGAGAAGAATGGCAGCAAATAGAGTAGAAGTTGTATTTATTGAAAGTAAGTTTAAGGCATAAAGAATCCAGGAGGTGGCTTTTAATACATAAGATCCTAATTCTGCACTTTGCATGTGAGCAGACCCCTGTACCTGTGCTGTCCCACTAAAGAGCCTCTGGTTGCCAGTATTCATCTACATAGCTCTGACTGTTGGACTCCTGTGTAAAGTGCACAAGGTTATCGGCATAGACAGATATTGTTTTGTTCTTTCTTTCTAAAACCACTGAACTGTCTCTTGACACACTGCTGCTTTTGTCTGTCGGTTGATATGCTGTTACTGCAGACTTGACTTGAGATGCTAGATGAAACGGCTACTAAGAATCAAGACGACAAATGCTGTAGTTTTGTAGAGTTGTCCTTATTCCCTGATAAGAAGTCTCCTTACTTCCTGATAGCACTGTGGTTTTATAATAGAAATTTGAAATAATCCCATGTCTCCGAACTAAAGTCTTCCAGTGAATCTGTGCATCTCCATCACAGTGTTATACCTTTATAAATATAAGACTTTGTAATGTATAGCTAGCATCTTGATGTCATCACATCAGAATATTAACACTTCATTTATCTGTCCTGCTTTGACAATGAATATCTTGGCTTTCACTGCCATCAGCACTTATTTTCTATAAATGCCTATGCATATAAGAAACTTCTGGAGACTGCAGTCCTGTGATAAAGTTCTAGTTCACTGGCATTATCTCATCCATATATATAAACCTGTACACTTGCACTTCTCATAGGTGCTAGGCCTTTTTCTGTACGTGTGACTACAATATTTATCATTAGATATAGCTTGCTGATATCTTTTCCCATATTTGTTTTAGGACAGTGCGAATGATGAAAGTGGCTAGGAGAAAATTATTATTCCACAGTTGGACAAGTAGGATCATGCCTCTGATCTTCAAAGGCTAATAATTCAGCCATTCCATAACAGTAAGGCAAAGCATCTGCCATATTTTTCTTTAAAGACAATAGCCTTTTAAAAACCAGTGGGGAAATTTTTGCTTTAAACCCAGGAATGGGCATTAAATATATAAGGCTCTCTCCCTCCTCCTTCTGTAGATTTGTACCGGCCATAACTTAACCGCTCGGTTGTTGTATTGCTTCCACAAACACTATGCTGGAGAGGTTCACTGATCTCACTGATGCCTGCAAGCTGATCTGTGATGGGTCCATATGGGTATGTAGCGCCCAGGCATTGCCTGGAGCAAGATTGTGCTCTCAGGGATCAGCTTTCAAGCAATGAGAAAGGTCAGTTTATACAATGCCACATGGCCTTGCAGGTTTTAAAAAAAGCTTATTTGCCATAGGGCACAACACTGAAACAGTGCAGCAGTGTGTGATTGGGGACCCAGGCAAACCTGGGATGCAGCAGGGTATGGGGGGTATTTGCACAGGAGTGCAGGGCAGTGGCGGGGGCAACAAACAGCCCAGGG